TGACAATTTTGTTTGATCTTTTAAAATCTGTCATTTCAAAAAAAAAAAAAAGCCTAATGGTTTTCTAATAAAAATAGTGATGACTGTAATTCACAGATGGTTTACTTTTACAGGAGTCAGAGTGACATTAACATTTTAATCTCAGATAAGAACACTCTGTCATGTAGGGAGCTCACAGGGAGAAGACTCAGCAGGGGAGTGTTTTAACCTCTCCTCTTCCCTGGTTAGCAAGAAATGTTCTTTGATTAGAGAATGCTACCAAAATCAAGAATGTAAGTTAACTGAATTTGTTCTGATTCTGATGAATCCTAATTATTGACTTGATATGGAGTACTGATTACAGAGTGACTTTACATGAATTAATTCCATATAAAAAATTTAAATGGCCAACAATTTTCTTCCAGTCAGTATCATTAATACACAATGTAAATATTTGAAACTTGGATGATCTTGTCTGAGTTTCTTTGAGAAGAAAATTCCTTATATTGGCTTGCTCTTTAACCCCTAGCATTAGTAATAGCAGCAGGCTGTTGAAGACTAAAATGCATTGTTTGAACTGTTTTCAGAAGAAAAACTCTAAAATAATACTAAAATATTAATTTCACTGTATTAGGATAAAAGAAACATTTACTACAAATATGACATATATGGGAGCTCTGGTAGCATAGTGCCTAAGGCATTTGACTGCTAACCAGAAGGCTGATGGTTCAAACCCACCAGCCACTTCTCAGAAGGAAGATGGGGCAGTCTACTTCCGTAGTGATACTGCCTTGGAAACCCAAGGAAAGGTATCTATGAGTTGACTCCAACTCGACAGCACATAACAACAACAACAACAATGACATATTTATTAGCAAAATTAAACAAATGTTAAAATTTCCACTGGCCAAACCCAGACATTGATAAATTAATTACATAGAAAAAAAAAATCCACAAATAAACTATGTAGTTAAAAAAATAAAATGGTCCATTAGATAACTGTAAGTTATGCCAAAATATCTGAATGAAGAATTTTTTAAATCATCTGAATGAAATGGTACCACAATATCCATCCATTAATATTGTCACTTCTGACTTCAGAAAAGCCCACCCTCTCCTCTTCCTACTGAAGAAGCCCATAAGCTCTCACTACCTGCAAAGCCCTTCATTGTACTTTTACAGGGAGGATTTGCATGGGAACAACTACATGAAAAATTCACCAGGAGCTTCAGGATGAGGCCTACTCTACTAACTCCTACTAATAAATGTGTCTGCCTCTCTAATCACACTTTATCCCATGTGTGAGCTAATTTAGTTCACTCATGAACTGCAGGTAAAAATACCTTCCCTCATATATACCCTGTGCCTCACGTGCTCACTGTCTTTATTTTTCTCATCGCAGGCCCTGATTTCCAGCAATAACTCCTTTTTTCTACATACTAGTCTGTCCAGAACATTGAGATCTTCTCTGTGAAACTCAGTGCACTTCTCAACTACCTTCTGTAGTAGTTAGAAGTTCACATCTTCTGTGAAACCACCTATGTATAGTGATAATGATTCATTTTATCTTCCAGATTTATTCCCCTTCTACCTTTGTATCTGAACCCAAACTGGCTATCTCCTGAAAAAATATTATCTTCTAATATATTAAAAAATATATTATATTTTAATATATTCTAAAGTGCATGGGGTCACTATGAGTCGGAAACGACTTGATGACACCTAACAACAACAATATATTCTAATAATATTTTGTTATGAGATTTTGCTTCTTCTCACTTCCTTTGTCTTAATGGGAAAGAAGAGATCAGCTGAATTCTTGCTCCGCAATCTGACATCTACACCATTGATGAACAATTTTCATTTCATTTCCCTTTATTCTTTTATTCCCACCATCCTTTATTCGATGACCTGCTGCCTTTCATGAGTTCTTCCCAGCTTGCTGAATGACTTCAGGGTCTAGCTTGTGTATTCATTTTCCATCAGACCTTATTTTCATCCTAGAACACATCATCATCTGTCTCTATGACTCATCTTATACCAGTACTTCACAATTCCTCATGTTCTGCATTTTTCAAATCTTCTTTGCCTTAAACTTATGAAGTTCAATAATATGACTCCATACTGTTCACGATATGTAAATACATATAATGGAAATTATGCAATGCAAGAGGAAGTAAAATAAAGATTCACTCATAAGATGCTGTGAAAACAACAAGGAAAGGTTTCAAAACTGTCGGAAGTGGAGAAGTATGTATCAAAAGTCTCATAATGGAGTTGAGGCTTAATTTTATTCTTAAAGGATAATTCAGAGTTGACCAACAGACCAGCAGCAATTGGAAAATCTTCTAAACTGGAATTAATCTTTGATTGCATTATACTGGTCTTCCTTACCAGCTACCTACCAAAGACCGGCCCAATAATCCTTTTACCAGACATTTTCAAAGGCGACTTTATAAACTCCAAATCAAATTTCAAAAACCATTTTTATAAAATTTACATAAATCCTGTTTAAACCTCTCAGTGTATCCCCACTGTTCAAAGAAATCTGTCCATGGTTTTCCTGGAATTCCCTTCATGATGTGGCCACAGTTAGTTAACCTCTTCCCCCCTCATTTTCTGCACAGCTGTACCCCAGATGGTTTATAAGTTTCTTCTTCTTACTTTTCATATACTAGTTTCTCTATTTCAAATTCATCTACTCCTATCATCCCTAGACTGCATGGAAAATTCCTGCTTATTCTTCAAGCCTACATGACTTAGATTATGTGCTTCTCAGTGAATCCTACCTGGTCTCATCAGACTGACTTGATAGCTTCCTCCTTTCTGACACTTTATTCCTTGAGCCAAATTCTACCATTGCACTGAGCCTATATTGTTGCCAGGATTTTTTCATTGCTTATCTTCTCTACTAAACTATGAGCTCATTGAGGATAGGGATCTCCTTTCTTTCCTCAAAATCTAGCATAGTACCCAGGACACACCTACTTAGGTTCCTGAATGGCTGTTAAAAATGTCACTATAAGAGATCTTAGTCCTCCACTCCAACTTTCTTCCTACCCAGGCTCTCCCTTTAATTAAGGGTGTGGAACTAGAATCCAAGTGGCCTATTTCCATTCTATAGATCTTCTTATCACGTCATTCTCCTTCTATATATGGGGTTCTCCAATGATTGTTATTGATTTCATCCATTGTGTAGCATTACTGGCTATCACTATTTTTGAGTTTTATTTTTTATTTCAGAGTTTTATGAATTTTGCCTTTGAGATTTAGTTTCCTACAATGAATGACATACCACATTTAGTGATGAACAGATAGTTGACATGCTCCCTCCTTTCCAGTGCCTGTCTCACAGATTTGTTCTTTAGTGCTCACAGACAGTACCAACTGTTCTTCCTGTTGACTGCCAAAATAAGTCAGCAGTTGGAAGGAAAAAAAAAAAAAAAGACTATGAATTATGGAAAATAACTAGGGAGAGAGAATGACAATACAATTAAAAAATAAAAAAAGTAGCAACTTTCAGTACCAACCCACCCATGGGACTATCTAAAATTTCAACCAAGGGAAAGAAAACTAAAGGAAGAAGAGTATATAAACAACCAGAGGTTTCTGAAATAGGCCAGTTGTTGAAAGCTCTCCTCATGACTACCATAAAGCAGGATTCAGAGCACATTCTCTTACAGAATGTGTGTTTCATTAAGACAACAGATCAATGGCTAAGGGGTGAGTTAGATGGAAAAACGGGAAGTGAGAAAATATGTTGGGAGTAAACTTAGTTTCCAAATGAAAAGGTTCATAAAATATCTCTGGCCAAACACTCTGAAGGCAAGATAACACTGACCTATAAACCTTCCAGTACCTAATGATGTGTGTAGACTCGGAAGCTTCTAGTGACAATGTGATATATGACATTGTCTGGTGCTATCATTTTAATGTCCACAGCTTATGCTTGGAAGCACACATGTTAGTCTTCCTCTCACTTTAATGGTGTTTGTCTCAAATTCTAAGAATATGATTATGAACATATCACGAGATTTGGGTATGCAATATTTTTCTTCCATCTAACAGAATATCACTTCAGAGTGCCCTTAGCACTTCACATTAGGATTTACCAGGCTCTTCTGTAATTATTTATGTTTGCTTCCTTTATGAGACTGTGAGCACTTACTGTGGGAGGGCGATTCCTCACACCTATCACAGTTCTGTGACTTCTTAGAAAATAAACACAACTCACAAGAAAATTATTTAAAAAAATATATGGATGTGGCTGAGTGTTATGGATTTTTAAGGATGATTTTGGCAGCTATCCTCATTAATAGTAGCATGTTTGAACTACCTTGCATGCCACTACAGCTGTGCATAGAAAGTGACTTGATAGTAGCTTGAAATTTCTTTTTAAATCTCTTGGAGAACTATATTCACTATTATAGCTGGTGTTTATACAAGCACATAGATTATTGCTCAAAGATGATTTTTTGAGACTTTTTAATTTTGTGTTTCAGTTCTGTAATTGCAGTTTTATAAACATTCAACTTATAATAATATAGGGTATAGTGGGAAAATAGTTGACAATTTCACATGACAGCCTTGTGTTTTCTTTGGTTTTTATTTTTAAAACTCAATCACCCTGCTTTAAGTTGATTAAAGAAAAGATTTCATGAATCAGCTATGGAATGTGAGAATTATTTCATGGAGATGGTTTTATATTTTGATAAATGTCAAGGTTAATGTTTCTATTTGCTCTACAGGATACATACACCATACCTGCAGTATGTAGGCATTTGCAAACATTAGTGACCATGCGCATACACACAAAAAAATATTTATTAGAAAGAAATCTTTGACATTTTGATTAAATGCAAGAAGGTTAAAAAATAATAATAAGAGATGTACTGGAATTATTTGTGTTAGATTTGTTTCTTCTAATCCTTTTTCTAGAAAAGTATCTTGGCTGATTATTTTCCCATCATCATTTTGGCATCTTCATGCTGTTAAATGTTTCCCTGTTGTTTGTATTTTAGATGGGAGTCCGAAAAGTGTTTTTAAAATACTGGCAAGCTGACCAGCTCAATGATTTGTGTTTACAGTTGCAGAGAAAAATTATAACCTGCCAAAAAGGTAACAATTAAATACCAACATTCTGATCTTTTCTGAATTAATATGACACAATTAAGTGCACCTCCAAGTTTAAATATCAGTGGTACTTATCTGACATTGGACCACTCTATTCATTTCCTGCTGTTATATTTGCTTAAATAGTTCATTGGGAGTTTAGGAAGCATCACATCTTCGTTTGCCATTTATCTGCCGTTAGATCACTTTTGCAGTCAGTACAGTACAGTCAGGAGTCTGGTGGTATAGTAAGGCATCAGACTGCTAACCAGAAGACTAGTGGTTCAAACCCACCAGCCACTCCTTGGAAGGAAGACTGAGAAATCTGCTTCCATACAGACACTTCCTGGGAAACCCAAAGAGGGGGTTGCTATGAGTCAGAATCAACTAGATGTCAGTGAATTTGTTTGTTTGTTTGTTTTTCTGGATGGTATATCAAATTTTCAGCTAAATCACAGATTGGAAGAGGGAATATACATATCTTATTATTTATGCATCCCCTAACTTGAAAATAAGGAACTCTGATGCCACAACAGTTAAGCACTCAGCAGCTAAATGAAAGATTGGTGGTTCGAACCCACCCAGCAACCCTACAGGAGACAGTCTTGGCAATCTACTCCCATAAAGATCACAGCCTAATAAATCCTATGGAGCAGTTCTACTCTGTCCCATGGAATCACTGTGAGTCAAAATCAACTCTATAGCACCTAACAAAACAATAACTTGACAAGATCCATATTTTTTGATCCTTTCAAAAGGCACAGGACAGTAAAAATGTGCCTTTCAATCCACAGTGGGAAAACTCCCCATCTGGAACTAAGATACAACTACAGAGCCAAATTGTATGGGATTCCAATCAACCCCACTTGTAAAAAGTTTGGAGAGAAAGAACAAGCCAATCCATGAAACAACATTTCATGTAATTCTACATACACTTTAGGAGCTCTGGTAGCCTAGTGCGTAAGGCATTTGACTGCTAACCAGAAGGCTGGTGGTTCAAACCCACCACCCACTCCTCAAAAGGAAGGTTGGGCAATCTACTTCCGTTGTGATACTGCCTCAGAAACCCAAGGAGGGGTCACTATGAGTCGGGTCTGACTCAATGGCACATAACAACAACAACAACAACAACATACACTTGGGAAAAATCCTTGACTTTATTTTTTGTTTGTGAAATGATATTTGGAGGACTATGTTTGATAGCCAATAACATCGATCTATTTTTACTTTGGGAGAGATTCCATTTAGAGTTTTTTCAATTACAACTCAAGGGAACATTAAAAATGGATATGTTTTAAGAATGATAATAATGATGCTTCACATAAAACTTACAGGCTTTAATAATTTAATTGTTTATAGCATAAATATAATCTTTAAAGAAAAAAAGGAGGAATTAATCTGTATGTTAATTTTCAGTGGGACTAGTTATAATGAATTTAGCTCTCTGATATATGTGTAACTATCAATTTAAAAAGCAAACTTCATAGGACAAAGAAATCAATTTTATTCAGTTCAATCCTCTGTCCACATGTACCTCTGTGGGATTAGTTTGAGCACACCCCTGCATGAAGTTTCCAGCCAGTTCCATGACATTTCCAGTCATTTTCTGGTAATAACAATACATACTACCATCTCGTCTCTTAAACAGTGTCAGTTAGAGATCACTCTGTCCAGTTCAAGCAGTGATCAAAATTTAGAATCACATTCCAAGCTCACACTTCCGTCCTGGTAGGTTCAGGCCTACTTCAATCTGGAATATTCTCTGGGGCAGGAGGAGTGGTACTCTTTTTTTTTTTTTTTTTCCAGCCCTGAGCTGTAGCCTCTCCTCCTCTACTTATTTAGGTTGCCTCTGTATCCTCGAGGGTTGAAGAGGAGGAAGGAGGACGGGCTTTCCTGACTGGCACCAATGTAATTTGGCAGTGGTTTCCTCTGGCTGATGCAGATTTTAAGTGGCTCTTCTCTTATTCAGGAGCATATCAGGGATTCTCCGTTCCGTAGTGATACTACCTCAGAAACCCAAGGAGAGGTCGCTATAAGTCGGATCCGACTCCATGAATGTGGTTGCATTTGTGTTTGCAATTATCTTAGAAGTGGCAAGACCTCTCCGTTGGTCACTTGTAATTGCCTCTTCTTTGGCACCAGGTTGTCCATCCCATATAGGCTCTATCTGTCAGGGTCTCACTCCTCTCTAAGGAGAATTCTTTTTAAATATCTCTAAGTAGGCTTTTCTTTCTTGCTAACCCATGACTGATGTCTTAAGAAACAGACTTATGGACACTTCATGATGTGGCTTCTCCCCAGCAGAGCCCACATTGTTGAATGGAAATTCAACAGCCTGGCAGGAACCACCAAATGCTACTTTTTGCCTTTTAGGGCCCCACAGTCTATGATGTCCACCAGACTCCACCAGGAGTCTCATAGATCATTCTTTTGGTGGTTTCTTTTCACTAGTTGGGGCTTTGGGAACAGGAAGAAGGAGACAGAGAGTGAGGGAGCTGTGGGTGAGGAGAGGGGATCTCCCAGTGACTCTTGGTAAAAAAAAAAAAAAAAACTCTCTCTGACTTATAGTAACCCGGCCTCTTTAATTCCATCTTGTTATATTCTTAGTGTCAGTGACAGGCTCAGGCCACAGGTCTGTTTGGTCCATTGTCTTTGCAATTCCTGTTTGTGAGGTTAGCACCACATTCACCAATGTGTGATCCAAGATCCAGCAGCATGAGCATCGTATGGGAGCTGGTTAGAAATGCACCCTCAGACCTCACCCCAGACCTCCTGAATCAGAAACTGTATTTGCAGCCTCAGCTGAAACTGGGACAAAGTCCCACTTAATATAAAGTTATTATAGATAAGAGAAGAGAGTATCACAAATTCTCATGGACACTTTTCTTAAATAAAATTAGAATAATTTATGCTCCATCATCCACCAAGGGTACTTTCTAGAGAATTTAATGCTATTTAGTTACAAAGACTGAGTTGCTGTGCTCAACTGACCTGGGGTAGAAGAAATGAACAGAACTCTAATTACCTGTTGACCTCTAAAGATAAAAATTGAGAATAGTTAAAAAAAAATGGCATCAAGATAAAAACCATAACTTCATGTTTCATAAATGAAATAATGGATATAAAAGCATATTTAAAATTACCGACTCTCAAACGCAAGGCATTAATTATTGATTTTTATTTTTACATCTCTTGGAACAGTTCCTTTGATGATTTTTTCTAAGATTAAATTTACTCAAAATTTATATAATCTGGAGTCATTTCCAGGTTTTGAAGAGTTCTAATTTTTTTTTTCTTTATAAATTTTGTGGTTAAAAAAAATAAAAAAAGCTGGAACTTTTAGTAGACATTCAGATTATATCTACCAGAAGTTTTCTCTCTAACTATATATGTTCATTTTGTCATCTACAAAAAATGACAGTAAATTAAGGCTTTAACACTGTAAGAGTCATGGTAACATTGAAATGGAAGAAAACGTATGCCAATGTCTGTTTGTGGCAACATTTGTATTAGCAGTGTCTTATAAAGATGCCATATTTTAGCAAGTGGTATAAAATGTTAAAGAATTTTGAAGGCTGCTAGCATGAAGTGTGAGAAAATGGAATTTGTTGGATTTTGGACAATGGATCTCTGGGTGAATGTGAAAGCAATGAATAGCTTTGCTATAGTAGGGGGTCAGAAGAAGTCTGGCATATCCACATTAATCTTTCCTTTATTCCAAGAGATTAAACATCTTGAATATAGCCTCACCTTCACCCTTCCAAAAGTCAATGTCTCATTTTTTTAAATGTAACAAGAATGAGAAAGTGAACAGGCCGATTTAAGTTTTCTGCTTGTCTCTCAGTATGCCCTCACATGGTTAACACTTCTGCATTTTATCCCACATTTTATATTCCTGAAAGTCTAATTGTACTTTTTACTATTTTTTTTTTCCCTTTAGATTAGTTCAGCATGGCTGTTTTGCAGTTAACTTAATACAACTTTGCATTCCACAGTAACTAAACATTTGGTATTGCCATCTGAAAAAAGCCTTAAGCATTTTAAATGTCTGCATATTATTTTCCTCTGAAGCCATAATTGCTGAAAGTCATGTTCAGCTTTCCACCTTGTAATCAAGCAGGACATCAAAATGGGTATTACAGATAGCCCATACATTTGTTCTTCTATAGCTGTAGAATATTTAAAAGCACTTAATATTTTACAGGCCTTTATTTTCCCCTAACGACAAGAATAAAATATCTTTTCTACATGCATTGGTTTTCCCTGAAGTTATATATCTTCTTATAATCTTAATATCGTCTTATAATTAGAAAGTTGGAATAGAAAGGGACCACATCATAGAGGTCATAAAGTCCAAATTGGAATTCCACAGTATTGATGAGAGGCGGCCACAAGGGCTAGGAGGCAACTCCCTTTCTCAGAAAGCAGCCTGATCCATTTGCACCCTGTGCTCATTGTTAGAAAGTTCTTCCTCATATTGATCGCAAATATACTTCCCTGTTACATCCCCTACTGGTCACGGTGTTCTCTGGAGAGCTACAGATCGCATCTTATGGTTAAGGGACCAGAGTTTGACATCACAAATAGGGAGATATGAATCCTGGCTCTATCACAGACAGGTTGTGTCTACCTGGAGGAATTTTCCTAGTCTCACTAAGCTTCTCTTTCTTTACATAAAAAATGGAGATAATGCTATGCAGTAGACCTCCCTTATCCAGTTTTACTTTTCTCAGATTTAGTTACAGCAGTCAACAGTGGTACAAAAATTTAAAATTTTAAATCTTGCACCGTTCCACTCCATCATTCACATAATTTTTATTCTAGTATATTGTTATAATTGTTGTATGGTATTATTAATTATTGCTGTTAATCTCTTACTGTGCCTAATTTATAAATTAAACTTTATTGTAGGTATGTATGCATAAGACAAAACATAGTTGATATCAGTTCCATACTATCCAAGGTTTCAGACATCCATGGAGGACTTGAAAATTATCCTCTGCAGATAAGGGAGGGCTATAGTATTCTATCATTAATATTCATGTTAAATGATATTAAGTGATATCATTTAAGATATGATATGTCATATCATATCATGAAGTGTCTGACACATAAAAGTGCCTTTAAGCTAGGTGGTCATTATTATTTTTATTTTAAGGTTTTATATTTATTGCTGACATATTACCTGTGTGAAAGTGTTTTCACTCACTTGTTTTCCCAAATTCTCACACATTTTTCCAGCTCTATTTCTTCTGGGAGCAGGAAGCCTACATTCTACATAAAATATTATGTAGCCTACATTTCTACATCAAATATTATGTAGCCTACATTTCTACATCAAATATTTCTAGAGTCTTAAATCCATTGCTAGTTTTTCTAGAAATTAAATCATCCTACAAACACTGTTTAAAAAAAAAAAAAAACCTCCAAATGCACTGACATTGCGTTGATTCCAGCTCATAGTGAACCACATTGGGTTTCCGTGGCTATAAATCTTTATGGAAGTAGATTGCCCCATCTTCCTTCCATAGAGCAGCTGATGGGTTTGAACCAGTGAGTGACCTTCTGGTTAACAGCCAAATGCCTTATCTATTATGCCACCAGAGTTCCTTAGAAACACAGTATGCACGATATTTTCAAGGACTTTCATGAACTACAAACCACTGCTTTTATAATCAGATATAATTGAAGACCAGTGCATCCCAAAAAGATCCAGTTGGAATCCCACTCAATGATTCTCTGGGGTTTTGGAATTACCTCTTTCCTACTGATTTTAACCTGGTTGATCATTTTCAAATTTATGTTACAAAAAAAAAAGTGTGGAAACCTCACTATAAATATTACCAGGAGGACCTCACTCAGGCCCAGGGTTTTTGGCTTTAGGGTTGTCATTACCAAATGTACATATCCTTTATAATATGAAGATAGAATGTTTTAGTAAATTCTTATGTGGGGTTTAATTTGTCTTATTTTATAACTTTGCAGATATCTATGTATTGTGATTTTTGTTGGTATGTGTCTATGTTTCACTTTTGCTTCTCTCACTGGCCTGTGATTGTGTCCTTTTATGAAAGTTATAAGAGGATTTCTAGCACGCCAGCACTTGCTTCAGAAAATGACCATGAAACAGCAAGAAGTAACTTCCATCAATAGCTTTCTACAGAACACAGAGGACATGGGGTTGAAAACCTACGATGCCTTGGTCATTCAGAATGCTTCAGACATTGCCCGGGAAAATGACCGGCTCCGGAATGAAATGAATGTCATTTACCACAAAGAAAAGTTAGAGGCTAGGAACAAACAAGAGGAAGGAAGCAAAAGGTAATGATAGATAATATGCAGCTTTAATTACCATTGTAATTGATCCAATGGAGTCATGAGAATTCCGATAGCTCTTAATGCAAAATTCAATCAAGTATGACAGTAGTTACGGGAACAGGCATTCATACATGGTTTGTTATATGAAACCTTCTAGTAATCTAAAAAGATGCTTTTCCTGTGCTTTTCTTAAATGAAATACATGCTGTATTTGTTGGTTTAGTCCTTTGACACCATTCTTGTTTCACTTACAATGCCTGCATCACTTATTGACTACCTCAAGCACACTCAAAGTTTTAAAGCATCTAATATTTCTGCATAAGCGAAAGTATATAGCTGAGCTTTTGGAAAGCTCTGGTGGCATAAGAGCTTGCCAAAAGGCAAGGCATTTGACTGCTAACCAGAAGGCTGGCAGTTCAATCTCACCAGCTACTCCTCGGAAGGAAGATTGGGCAATCTACTTCTATAGTAATAATGCCTTGGAAACCCAAGGAAGGGTCACTATGAGTCGAATATGACTCGATGGCAGTGAGTTTTTTTTTGTTTTTGTTTTGTTTTTTATACAAATGTGAGATATATAGAAGACTTACAGAAGCTTTTGGAAAATTCACAAAGAAAAAAAATGAGAAGCCACTTTGAAAACATAAAAATAGTGAAATCAACAAATTGTATGGTTCTCTTATATTTCCCTTTCTAAACTCACATTTTCTTTTCTGAGAAGGAAACTTTAGAAGAAGGTTTTTATGTAAAAGATAACTTTGAATGCTGAGGTTGAAATAGAAATGTGAAGACAAACTGGTCCTTCTCCATGTTATCTTGCTTCCCTCTCTGAGAATGATGAGGACACCTGTGCATAATAAGAGCCCTCCCAGGGATGGCAACAACCTGTGTCCTTTGAATCTTAATCCACTTATCAGGGAGAAGTTTATTTTTCCACAGGAACTTGATAGTGTCTAGTTGTTTCTCATTGAAAATGACTCCCCTTTGCCTTTAATGCCTATGTCAACTGAATTTTTATTAAAGTGAAAATGGCAATGTGTCTCTGGTTAATTAGCTTCAGATATCTCAGTGATTAAATACAGAAAAAAGAAAATCCCCTTTGTACAGAAAACTGTAATTAAACATTACAGGGAAAACAAATTATCCACTGAGTGCCATGCTTTCATCTTCAGCTATTTCATTTACTACATGGGCATCTGGCTCTGTCTTGTGGTAGATTCCAGCCCTGTTGGTGTTCTGCCACACAAATATATAATTATAAAAACAAATGCTCTGGAAACTCCTTGCAAAATGAATGCACTGGCATCTAGTTAATGCTTGATTATATTGACTTGCAAAGCCAGAAGGAATTTTTAAACCAGATAACTATTAATTTTATACAACTTCCAGAATAATATTTATTATTTTCTCTGCTGGAAATAAACAACCCCCCCTCCATTTTCTCAATTTGATTATGTATTTATTGGCCTTATATAAAATTAAGTGAAGAATTACTTGTCTATTTTATCTATTGAACACCAGTAGTGTATTTGGCAGTAGGCAACCACAGAGAGTAACAGGCAAAAATAATAATAATTCTCCACATAATTAAATAATTGCTGATAGTATTGAAATAGCAGGGCAGAAAAAGAGAGAGAGGTATGAAGCCAAATGTAAACCTTTGATAGTTTTAAGCAGAGTGTATGCTCTCTTTAAGGATCTGTGGTGGCATGATGGTTAAAGCACTTAGGAACTAACCAAAAGGTGGGTGGTTCAAACCCACCAGCCACTCCATAGGAGAAAGATGTGGTGGTCTACTTCTGTAAAGATATACAGCCTTGGAAACCCTATGGGGCAGTTCTACTCTGACCTATAGGATCACTATGAGCTGGAATCAACTCAATGGCAGGGGTTTGTTTTATGCTCCCTTTGGGAGGAGAAGTGGTGATGAACTCCCTACATTGATGCATCAGTAACTCCATGAAGATGGATTTCCCAGAAATTATCATTCAGATTGAAAGTCTGGTTTTTTGATTTGCTTAAGAATCTGAGTGTGAAAAATTCATTCAGTGAATGCCTGATAGAAAATGTGAAACTACTTAAGAAATGTTTATGTGAGAATTTTAGAATAATCATAATGAATGCCCCATGTTCTCATTTATCAGAAAACAGGGACAGGAGAATAAGGTGGCTTTCTCTTCATTTGTTCATCACCAGAGGACTGTACACACATCCTCTAGCCACAGTAGGGGTGTGGAGAGACTGTTTACCAAAACTGTTATTATGTTTGCTTGAACAGGTTCATTGTTATCATTTGAATAATGCATCTGGGTTCTTCCATGCTGCTGTTTGTGTGTTGTTTCCCCTAAGAGCTGAGGACAAGTGTGGACCCAGGCATTTTCATTCCAGCTCCGTCCCGGTTCCGATAGCAGTGGACAACCTGGTCCAGGCTCTGGCTGGATCATCCATCAGGTCTCCTTCCCTCCACTCTGTGTTCAGCATGGATGACACCAGTGGCCTACCATCACCACGGAAACAGCCTCCGCCCAAGCCAAAGAGAGACCCCAACACCCGGTTGAGTGCTTCTTATGAGGCTGTGAGTGCCTGCTTGTCAGCAGCCACTAAGGAAACAGCTAATGAAGGTTAGCTAAAAGAGAATGAGAAAATAACCTTATTGATGCTCTGACTTCCGGTCTTTAAGTGCCCCAAAGCAGTATCATTACCCTAATATATTTTTAATAGAAATAAATCCAATTGTTGGCTTGCCAGTAGCTCTTTAATCATTAAATATAAATACCATTTATTCAAATTTCTAAGCCTCTTAGGGGAAAGCTACTTATATATCATTTCCTTAACTCCCATCACCACCTCAGCATTGAATAAGCAGCCTAAAACCAGAGCAATTCAAAAACTTAGTCACTATTACATGTAAAGTTTCACTAATTAAAACATTAAAAAAAAAAAATTGTCAGGCTTTCTTGACATCACAATTTAATTGAAAATTAAACTCAGTTTATCATACAGGAAGTGAAAATGAAACTAAAGACAATCACTGTGCAGCAGAATTCAGTTAGTGAAACTTTTGGGACTAGATAACAAAGTTCAGCATCTGTAGACTACAAATATTTTAGAAAGGGATTTTTTCTCAGTAAAATCCCTTGTAGGTTAGTACATAGGACAATTATTGACTAATTATTAATTTTTATTCAATTAATAATGGAAAGAGTGCTTCTTTGTGAAAGATTAAGGACCAAGGGATAATAGAGTAAACAAAAGAATCAGCAATATTCTTGAGCTCTGGTAGCATAGTGGCTAAGACACTTGCCTGCTAACCAGACGACTGGCAGTTCAAACCCACCAGCCACTCCTCGGAAGGAAGGTTGGGCAATCCTACTTCCGTAGTGATACTGCCTCG